ATGCAGTAAATTAGCAATGAATTTGAAGAAGCCCCTGAAAAGGACCCAGTTTGTCTCCCCAGCCTCCTACAACTGCTAAGACCGTGCTGCTGGTTTCTCTCTCTTCCTGGAAGCGGCTCAGTGCCTAGACCAAACCGTCTATAGGCCCTGTTCTGAATCATTACATTCCCTAAAGGGAGACATTCCCAGGATCTAGCAGATGTCTCCGAGATTAGAAGTCAGTTCAATTTAGTTGTCCCCTCACCCTAGAGTCTTTCTTTATCTTTTCCCCCAAGGGTAGGTGGCTAGGTAGGGTGGGGGAGGGGTATTTAATATATACCAGGTAAGGGTGAAGTAAACAAAGGTTTACAGAGATAAAGAAAATTAGCTTAATCCTTGTCTCATCATCCTACAGAATTATTATCTGGCTTTTGCCTATACTCAGCTAAAATTTAAACTCTTAAGTGTTCCCTCTCTACTCATTAAATCTAATGACCATTTTTCAAGTTTTGCTTTTCATTTACCTTTCTACAGGACTTAATACAATGTATCAGAGACTTCAGAATCTTACTTAAAAGGCATTACATTTAATGAAAAAAAAGAAGTCGTAGTTTTAGTCATATAGCTAATTAATCCTGATTTAGATTGGGTTGCATATCCAAACAAAATACCCCATTGCTATAGTTTATAATAAATATAAATATACTATAAGCATATTCTAGTCTATAAAGCCTGAATAAATGTTACAGTTATAGAAAAGAGAACATGCATTATTGAGTCCTTTGTTAAAGCATCCAGAAACAATGACCAAAATGTTTCCAGTTTGTTAATGCACTCTGAATCATGGTCATTAGTTTCTGCTTGCTTTTTGTCCAAAGGTATTTATTATCATAACATGCAACAAATTGAACTCACACTGAAAAGTTAAGACCATAGAACCTTTGGCTCTTTGACTATCAAAATTTAGCTTATTCAGCACTTAGGTTTGTTGGCAAAGCTGAGATGGCATAGGAAAGTGAAAGAAATTGCATGCCAGTTCCATTCATTTTGAAAGCTTTCAGCACTGGGTTACACAATGGAAAAAGCTCAAGGACATTCCCTGTGTCTGTGTGTTTGTAATGATTACACGAAAGTCAAGCACAACTCCAAGAAATGAATCACACTCAAATGCTTGGGAGTTAAAATACTGGGTATGTGGACTAGGTTCCCTAATAGGGACTGGTGCTTTTATGAAATGACTTGCAGATCAGGACAGAAGATTTGCTACATTATGAAGGTAATCTTGATCACATAGATGAGCCAAAGTAAGGAGTTCATTTTAGATACCAATACATAGATTAATATAGTAATTCACAAATTCATAAACTTGAGAATAAATAGTATTTTTCATACTTGTAATGTTATAATGTAGATGTTCCATAAATAAAAATGTTAGGCCTTGGCCGGATTTGCTCAGTGGTTAGAGCTTCGGCCCACGGACCAGAGAGGCCCGGGTTTGGTTTCCACTAAGGGCACGTACTTCGGTTGCAGTTTATCCCCGGCCCCAGTTGGGGTTGTGTGGGTGGTAACCACTCCATGTGTCTCTCTCACATCGATGTTTCTCTCTCTCTCTTCCTCCTTCTTTCCCTCCCACTCTATCTCAAGATATATGCAAAACAAAAACAAACAAACAAAAAAAAAACATGTCTACGGGTGAGGATTAAAAAAGAAAGAAAAATGTTAGCTTTTTTTTTTCTCCAAATCAACATATTTAAAGTCCACTTAGGATACACCACAAACTCCTTGGCCATGGTCTACAAAGGCCATCATGGCCAGGATCCTTGCCTATCTTGATAATCTTACCTCTCCACAAAAACCCTGCCTTTCAGAAATTTTATTTATTTATTTATTTATTTATTTATTTATTTATTTATTTATTTATTTTTGTTACAGATGTTTCTCCTTTTCCCCCCATTGACACCCTCCTCCCCACCTCCCACTCCTGCCCTAGCCCCAGCTTTGTTGTCTATGTCCATCTGTTACACATACATGCATATAAGTTCTGTGGTTTATCTCTCCCCCCCATCCCTCTTCTGAGGATTGTCAGTCTATACCCTACTTCTATGACTCTGTGTCTATTTTGTTCATCGGTTTGTTTAGTTCATTATATTCTAGAAATAAGTAAGATCATATGATACTTGTCTTTCTCTGTTTGGCTTGTTTCACTTAGGATAATACTTTCCAGGTCCCTCCATGTCATCTCAAAGGATAAGAGATCTTTCTTTCTTATAGCTGCTTAGTACTCCATGGTGTATATGTACCACAGCTTTTTTATCCACTCATCTACTTTGCCTTTCAGAAATTTTAAATTAACTGACATTCAAGATGCATAATGTTGTTTCTTCTACCTAGAATTTCTTTTCCCACCTTTCTTTTTAGACAGTGAACCCAATTCAAATTTCACCTTCTCTGTGGCTCCTTCCCTGACCTCCCTAAACATAGTTAGGTAATATCTATTTTTAAATCCTCTCCCAAGGGTACTTTTCCATTTATCTTCAGATAGAGTGTGAGGGAGGGATATAATTTAAAAAGGGAGCTTGCACATAATGTATAGGTTTAAAATGTAATAAAATCAGATGTAAAGATCTAGCAACTTACATTTTGGTCCCACTATATTTTTCTTTGCCTTCCTCCAGGGATGCTTCATTTTCTATTCTGTTCATTTCCTGTTCAGAATTTGTTTTCTGTTCTGTTATTTTACTTATTACTCACCTGGTTTCCCTGTTCAGTAACTGGTAACTGATAGGGGCTTTAGGTGTCATGGTGTAAAATAATTCTGTAATATCTTTATTACTGCTATGTTTTATAGATTTAAAATTAGAGCTGCTGACATATAAAAATGATATGGGTTGGTGACATGCCAAATGCCAATTCTATTTCCTAAAATAGAATCCGGGATTCATTAAAGTCTGGACATAGCTCAGACATGCCCAGGGCTCAGAATAGTGTATACTTCCATTCTATAGTAGTTACATAGTACATTTGACTCAGAGATTACTTTACACATAATATCCATTTGATTATTTATTTTCCAGATGAAGAAACTAAGGCTCTCAGAGAGTAAACAATGGATACATGATTAGTTAGCCAGCAGAGCCAGTTAGAGCTTAAAACTGGTCTTCTGACTTCAAATCCTATCTTTTTCCTTTTTACTATAGCAGAGTTGTCTTCTTCTACTTGATTATTCCCTGGCCCCTTCTTTTTTTTTTTTCCTCACCCGAGGATATTTTTCCATTTTTTGTACAGATAGAGTGGGAGGGAGAGAGAGGAAGGGAGAGAGAGAGAGAGAAACATCAACGTGAAGGGACACATCGAGTGGCTGCCACCCGCACGACCAACCAGGGCCGGGGACAAACTGCAACCGAAGTACGCGCCCTTCCCTGGCCCCTTCTTATATGTCCCAAAGAGAGATAGTCTGAATGCTGGCTAATCATCTGAGCAGATGATTAATTTTGATGCTACAAAGTAGTTATTTTTATTTTATTATTATTTTTTTAATCCTCACCTGAGGACATTTTTCCATTTTTCTTCAGCTAGAGTGGAGGGAGGGAGAGAGAGAAAGACACATTGACTGGTTGCCTCCTGCATGATCCTCACCATGGTCGGGGACAAACCGCCACTGAGGCATGTGCCCTTGACTGGAATCGAACCCGCGACTCATTGGCCCACAGGCTGACACTCTAACCACTGAGCAAAACCGATCAGGACCAAAGTAGATATTTTTAGTTTTCTTATTTATTTAATTTTTTTTTCTTTATTGATTTTAGATAGAAAGAAAGAGATAGAAACATCGATGAGCAACATCGATTGGTCACCTCCTGCATGCCCCCTACAGAGGATCCGGTTCACAAGCTGAGCGTATGCCCTGACCGAAATCAAACCGGCGACCTCTTGGTGCATGGGTCGATGTTCAACCACAGAGCCACACCAGCCAGGCCAAAGTAGTTATTTTTATTTTTATTTATTTTTTTCCTATATTGATTTTAGAGAGAGAGGAAAGAAGAGAGAGAAACATCAATGTGAGAGAGACACATCCACTGATTGGCACCCACATGACCCCAACCAGGGCTGGGGACAAACTGCAACCGAGGTATATGCCCTTAGCGGGAACCGAACCCGGGACTCTCTGGTCTACGGGCCAACGCTATAACCACTGAGCCAAACAGGCCAGGACCAAAGTAGTTATTTTAAAAAGTAGCTAGACTTTATGTCCAGACAAGGAAAGATTACAGATATATTGTTCAATTAAAAAAAAAAAAAAAAGCAAGAAGCTAAACTTTGATGCTACATCTAAGCTTATTTTCAGGCCTATGAAAGGGCAAACTTTCCAGGAGTATAGGTCAAAGTCTAGATTTCTCTATGAGACACAAGGGCTTGACAGATGAACTCCTAATTAAAGTACATGTCAGCATATAGGGTTTAGGTAGATTAGCATGAATAAAAAGTCAATGTGGCGGTCATTAATGTTGTTCACCAAATATTTTTAATTCTCCTTCTGAGAAATTTTTAGGGATGGACTTCCATGCGCTTGAAGTTAGATGTGGACATTGAAATACTTTGGCCAATGAAATGTGAACGGATGTGATGTGTGTCACGTCCAAGAGAAAGTTATAAAAATCAGTGTGACCTGCCTTGTTCCTCTGTGCCACCGCCCCACCTCCTCTTTCTTTGTCTTGACAATCTGGCTGCATAGACGTACAGCCTCCCTTCTGTTTCCTGGAGTGAGACAATGAACAGATCTTTCCAGCCCTACCCTACAGAAACCAACCTACATGGGCATGTAATGCAAGCAAATGTTTTAAAGTTCCAAAATTCCAGAAATGTTTGTTACCAAGCATAACTTAACCTAGCTTCATTGATATGCTTACTTTAAATATTATTCCAATTCAGTAGTAACACCCAATGGAATAAGTCAGTGGAGTCTTTTTGAATCTATGACATATCAGTATGGACTTGATTTAATTAAGAATTTTACTTAATGTGCTAGCTTCGGCACTGTGTATACCAAAATTGGAACGCCACAGAGAAGATTCGCATGGCCCCACACAAGGATGCCACAAATCTAGGAAGTGTTTCCGTATTTCTGCAGCACAGATGGACCTAGAGGGTACTGTGCTCAGTGAAATAGGTCAGACAGAGAAAGACAAATACCATATGATTTCCCTTATATATGGAATCTAAAGAGCAAACAAAACTAATAGGAGACAGAAACAGATTCATAAATACAGATCAGACTGATAGTTGCCAGAGGGTGGGGGTTATGGGGGCTGAATGGGAAAGGTAAAGGGATTAAGGAATACAAATTGGTAGTCATAAAATAGTCACAGAGATAAAGTACAGAATAGGGAATATAGTCAACAATATTGTACTAACTATGTACAGTACCAGGTGGGTACTTAAAGTATTGGGGGGACCATTTTGTAAAGCATTTGCTTGTCTAACCACTATGCTGTACACTTGAAACTAATACAAAATAATATTGAATGTAAACTATAGTTGGAAAAAAATTAAAATAAATAATTTTAAAAAAAGATTTTTCCTTAAAAGGTGGCTATTATTTAAACATTCAAAGGCTTATTGCTAGTAAGTTTTTCAATAAGTATTTCAGTCTATGACACCGAAAACAAGTGGAAGAAACACTTTTGTGGACAGCCATCTTGTAAGGAAATTGAAGAAGAGGGATAGGAATGCTGCATTAATGAGAAACCTCTAATTTTCCTCTCCTCCTCTAGTCTCAAGCACCTCCAAAGGTCACAAGACCAGTTCTTCCTTTGGAGTCAAGCTAGACAATTCTTCCTTTAGACACTTCAGACAAGTACTAATCTTGGCAAACTCTCTAAAATAGACAGAGATTAAGACATACTTAATTATCGCACCTTGGTTCTCATCCAGCCTAAAGAGTTGGGTACTTCATTTCAAAGGATTCAGAGTCCCTTTGGGCTTTATTATTGTCAACTGGCAGCCCCGGGCAGAAAGATGCCTGCAGTGAATAATGTGAAAATTCATTAATGGACTAAGCAATTTCCAGTTCTGTACATGGCTACACTCAGATCCAGCCATCTCAGGCCAGCTCATGTCCACACATGTGCTGGTAAGTTTCCTGTCAAAGCCATGAAGCCTGTCTGAGCACAGCTAAGGGTACAACTTAGCCCAACTCTGTGTTTCAACTTAATATCTGTATTACAGTTTTCATATGAAATTTACCCTAACGAGTCAGGACTGATTTTCCAAAGTTGCAATTTGAGTAAATAAGAACTGAATATGCATTTATGTCTCCCAATTCATACAAACCCGGTCACAGTGATTGTGCTTATCACCAATTAATATGGGGTCATCACACCTAATAGAAAGTGTAATCAATTACATTCGAGTTCAAAAGGGCCACTGTCCTTTGATTTCCCATTAGATTCCCCCTGTTCCAGGTCAGAAATGTGCAGCTAGAATTTGTACCAAGAGAGCAAAGGATGCAATTAGGTTAGCGTCAGGAAACAAAAAAATTTAAAATTTATTAAGTGGAATAAGTTCAAATAACATAAACCTGACAAAAATTTTTCATCTCTGAGATTAATATGAACACAAAATTGAAGATAATGTAAGCCCTGTCTATATTTTTAACTAATTTAATGTACATCAATACTTCCTAACAGCCAATGGCTTAGATATATTGACTTACCCAACACCACCTAATCGATAACCCTGTTGTACAGTTAAAGGCAAAAAGAAAAGAATAAAGGGCTAGAATTTTCCTAGGAAGGTATGCTTTGGTAATATATCTTAAAAGCTCCATTTTTAGGTTTGAAAAAAATTTTTTTATCCTCACCCGAGGATATTTTTGCATTTATCATCAGATAGAGTTGGAGGGAGGGAGAGACAGTGAGTGAAACATTGATGCAAGAGAGACACATCAACTGGTTGCCTCCCCTATGACCCCGACCAGGGCCAGGGACAAACTGCAACTGAGGTACGTGCCCTTGACCAGAATCGAACCTGCGACTCATTGGTCTGCAGATCGACGCTCTGATTGCTGAGCCAGGGCTGAACATATTTTTAATGCTAACATCTTTTAATTGGTTTATACATTTTATTATATTTTACATATATTTAAATATGGATATCTGTTTTAAAATAAATGCTATGGAAAATTATAGTAAACTATGATTATACTCACATAACTAAGCCAAAATAATGTCCATATCAAGACGGTGATACAGATTCTAAAACAAAACAAAACAGGAATAGAATGTATTTGAGGAAAATGCAGAATGAAGATATAGTAAGCAAACCCACAGGAATAACAAACTACCTTTCAGGCATGCTATCCCTTTCTAAGTCATTTGAGATATATACTGTTTTCATACTCGGAAAATTATAGTAAACTATGATTATACTCACATAACTAAGCCAAAATAATGTCCATATCAAGACGGTGATACAGATTCTAAAACAAAACAAAACAAAACAAAACAAAACAAAACAAAACAGGAATAGAATGTATTTGAGGAAAATGCAGAATGAAGATATAGTAAGCAAACCCACAGGAATAACAAACTACCTTTCAGGCATGTTATCCCTTTCTAAGTCATTTGAGATATATACTGTTTTCATACTCTGGGAGAAAGAAAAAAGACCAAACCGCATTCATCCTCCCTTGCCAGGAAATAGCTCTGCAGATTCTCTTTGCTTGTGGCTGCATGGGTTCTGCAACAGCTGGGTGTGTGGGTGGCGCACATCAGGTCCGCTAGTTTCCAAAGAGGACCCGGGGGCCTCCTGAAGTGTTACAAGGCCTCCTGGCTCTGTGGGGGGTCCGAGGCTCCTGCCTGTGCGTTGAGATGAGGCTGTGTGTGGAGTAGGGGAAGCACCTGAGATCGTGTTTGGCATCTGTGGAGACCACCAGTATGTAAACCATTTATGTGACAAGACTAATTCCGAAGGGAAGAGGAGTAGACATTTCCCCCCTTCATTTCCAACAGCTGCAACCCTCCACACAGCTGCTACTCTGGGCTTGGGATAGAGGAAAAACACGAGAGAAGTGGGACTCTCTGCAGTGGTTTGGCTGCTTAGAAGTGGGCAGCGTGTAAGGAAAGCCACCAAAAGAAGAGCATAAGTTAGCTCTCCATATGCCCTGTTCTGTTCGGTGTAGTCTGTTAAGCTGCTGTGTGTGCTACCCCACCCAATACCACAAAGGTTGACTTCTTGTTCACACAAAATTCTCTACAATGCTGGGTACCCTCCAGGACAACTGTCCCTCCTATGGTGACTTTACAATTCAGCCTTGCAGAGTCTCTGCTCTCCCCAACTGCATCTAAAACACATGGCCCCCTGGATCAGCACGGCAGTGAGAGAGAGAGGGCAAGAAAGTCCCACACTAGTCCCGGGGAGCATAAATAATAATGTCACTCCTGCTCATGTTTCATTGGCCACCTCTAGTCCCCTCTATGTGATGCCTGACTTCAAAGAATAAGATCACAGCCCCTGTGGATATTAGTGACTATTAGAACCAAGTGCCCTTTTCTCTGAAGCCCTGAAATCAAGTTCTAACTATATGTAGGCTCGATATTCCAAAAGGATGCACCTGCCCATTCTATGGTGTACAGTTGTCCCAGTTCTCGCCTCTGGATTCAAGTCTCCCTTCCAAAGGAACAAAAGAGAGGAGGGAATTACATAGACTGTGGATTCTTGAAGCAGAGATTTGGTTCCCTTAAAGTCTGTAAAGGCACAAGTGACCAAAACACATCACGGCTAACAGTTTTAAGTGGCTCTGCCCCCTCTCTGCCCCAATGGCTAGTCATGCTTGGAAAGAGGTACTGACTTATGTCTCTCTGAGCTTGGTCATTCTGCCTTTGTTTTATGACAGACTATTCTTATTTGGTTCCTGGGTAGAGATTTTAGTGGAAAAAGGAAGGGAAAACAGAAGGAAGGAAAAGAGAAAGAGAGGGAAGGGAAGAAGGATAGAAGGAGAGAGGGAGGGGAAAGTGCACGTGTGAGATTATAAAGTTCTTTCAAAGACATCAGTTCATATGAGCTTCAAAACAACCCGTAGAAGAAAATATTTCCCCCAAGTTACCAGTGAAGAAACTAAAAATCAGAAGATACATAAAGTGAATGTGGGGCAGAAGCAGAAATAAGTCTTACTCATGGGCCGTTTCCACTTACTTCAGTGGAAGTGAAAACCCAAAGACAAGATCGTGTTTCAACGCAAGCCCAGTCTCCTGTGAATGTCAGATGTCACGTGCCTTTTATCTCAATGGTGATTTTCATTTTTGACATGTAGATTATAATTGTTGAAGCAATTGTGTTAAAATCCCTGGTCTCCTCACTTGCCTCCAATCCATTGAAACTAAATCTAGGAAGACAAACTGCTTGCCCTTATTTAACATCATAGGCACAGCATTTTCACAGGTCTCCTAAGGCTTCTCTTCCAGCCCTCAAAGACAACTCATGCCCTGTGGGCACCCAGTTTATCCGGCCTCACCTCCCCATGCATGGGGCTCCAGTTCAAACCAGCTCACACCAGTGGTTTGTTTTGTATCCTGAGCCACACCTTGGAGGTTACAGGTAAGCACCAGAGAAAGGCGTGGAAGAACTGCCTGAGGTCTGTGGGTTCCTGGGCACAATGCTGAATGCTCCCTTCAGCCCAGAAATTAAAAGCCAGGCCTCAGAATAGAAAGGCAAAGGCTCCAATTTGCCAAGCTGCTCAGAAGAAAAATGTAAATGCCAGCAGCCCAGGCTGCCAGCAAGACTGCTGAAAGGTATGGGGACCTGCAGAGTGAGCAGCAGCGTCATGATCTCCTGGAGACAGGGCCAAGGCAGGCCAAGAACTCGGAGAGGAAGGGAGGGAGCAGGAATGTGTCTCCCAACAGCTTGTTTGAGAACAAGCAGTTATTTTCCCCAAAGCCATCTGTGAGACTCTCAGCTCGCGCCTGAGAAAGAAAAGGGCAAGGCAGAGAGAGAGAAGTGAATTACTGGAAAAAGCAGGTATCTCTTTGGGAGTTGCGAGGGCAGCAAAAAGACTGTCTACCAGCCTGTTAGTCTTGGCAGCTGCATATCTGTGAATCTGGCCACTGTCAGGGTTTCTAAGGCTCTGC